AAGCTTCTGTTTTGCCATAATTTAAAAAAGAAAGAAAAATGATAAAATGTTGCTCATTGAAGTTTGTTTGAACCTTCATTTTATAATTTTAAGGAAAAGGGAGTAAGGGAGAAGAAAAAAACTGAGGGGGTGGAGGGAAAGAGGAACAAGTGGCCTATTGGCACAAACCTGTGTTTGGTCACCATTTGAGGTGGGTACTGTCACCTCGATGTGGGTTTTTTCCACCTACATTTAAGAAATAAAGTAGTGAAAACATTTTAGGTTAGTAGGTTTCTATGAATAGTGTTGTTTCCAAATAAGCTGCATCTTTAAGCTGGTTGTGAAATACACTGATATGTAATCATCATGATGCAGTCTTATGGAGGGTGTTACAGGGAAGGATATTACTCCCAAAAGTCATCTGTGTTTACCATCACATTTTCAAGGCTGAAAAGGTAACATGGATATCCAAATTATCAAAAAAGAAAATTAAGGTAAGTATTCTATTGATGAAGAAAATATATTTTTATACTTATTTATAAAAAAGTATCCACTTAAAAGAATAATTTAGGCTTATTTAATGCAATAGCCATGTTTTTGTTTTGCCTTTAAAAAATGATCTGGAAGTACTTTAAGTAACATTTAAAAACAAATTTACATATGAAGTTATCAACGTATGACATATATGACAGGAAGAAAATCTTTAGTTAAAGCACACATGTAATAAACCACATATGACACCAAACTGGTAAACACAAAGGATTTTGTTAGTTGAACAATATACTTAAGGAGGCACTTCATTCTTCAGTTTATTACACAACAAAACATTACAATAAACCCAATTTAAATTGTAACTGACACATGAAATTACTCCCAGGGCTGGTTATAAACAAGCACATGCAGGATTCAGCTGCAACATTCAACACACTGCAATCTTCTCTAGGAAGGTGGAGCCTATGTGTTTGGTAGAAGGGCAAGATTCATCCTTAGTATTAATGGTAGAAAGAGAATAGCTAAGGTCTCCTGCCTAGCTTTGAAATACCTTTAGTAATGTCATTTTATACATAGAAAATGGAGTAATTATTAAAAAAAACAAAAACAAAAACAGGCTATTAAGAGGGAGCATAATAGAGTGAGCAACGCACAAAGCATTGGATATCTTAAATTAAAAAATTGATTGTTTTTACTAAGGGCTAAATCACTTTGTATCATTAAGTTCTTTACAGAACCTCATCAATCTGTGGTGTTGATATTCTTTTTAATTACACTAAGCAGCATTACTTTGGAATATAATGTCATTGTGCTATTTTCCCTAAACTGAGTCTAAAAAACCTGAGAGAGCTACAAAATTAGTGACACTGTCAAGTGTTAAGTTAAGTACACCCCATTACAGCACTTTAACTACCAGGGGTAATTAACCGTTTTGGGTCATTTCTACTTTAAGTCCCAGTATACTTGTTGTGTGGTCATTAATAAGTTTTTTTTACCCCCCAGAGCTTAAATTTCTTATGGATAAAATTGAGATAATGTCTTCCTAGAATTGTGCATTTAGCAAACAATAATGTTAAATTATTTTACAGGCCGGGAGCGGTGACTCATGCCTGTAATCTCAGCACTTTGGGAGGCCAAGGCGGGTGGATCACGAGGTCAGGAGTTTAAGACCAGCCTGGCCAAGATGGTGAAACCCCGTCTCTACTAAAAATGCAAAACAATTAGCCGGGCGTGGTGGCACGCACCTGTAATCCCAGCTACTCCGGAGGCTGAGGCACAGAATTGCTTAAACCTGGAGAGGCGGAGGTTGCAGTGAACTAATATCGCTCCACTG